ATGTAGAATTGAATTTAAAATCCTCCTCCTCACCTATAAAGCTCTTCATGGTCAGGCCCCTTCATATCTTAAAGAGCTCATAGTACCCTATTACCCCACTAGAACACTACGTTCTCTGAATGCTGGGCTACTTGTGGTTCCTATAGTCTCTAAAAGTAGAACAGGAGCCAGAGCCTTCAGTTACCAAGCTCCTCTCTTGTGGAACCAGCTTCCATTTGTGGTTCGGAAGGCAGACACCCTCACCACATTCAAGAGTAGGCTTAAGACATTCCTCTTTGATAAAGCTTATAGTTAGGGCTGGATCAGGTGAGTCCTGAACCATCCCTTAGTTATGCTGCTATAGGCCTAGACTATCGGGGGATTTCCCATGATGCACTGAGCTCCTCTCTTCCTCTCTTTCTCTTTCTGCACTCATTCATGTCCCATTAATGCATGTTACTAACTTCACTTCTTCCCCGGAGTTCTTGTGCTTTCTCGTCTCGCAGGTTCTCATGGATCCTGGTGGGGCATCCTGCCATGGTCCTGCTTCACTGCCATTGCTAATATCACTGATATTATTGTTGTTATTATTATTACTATTATTATTACTACAGTTACTATTACTACTGTTGTCACTGCTCGATGTCCCTTGTCATTGCTGTTGTCGTTGTCTTCATCTTCTTCATGTTCATCATCATCAGTCACTACTATTAGTGTAGTTATTGCTACTGTTGTTGCTGTGCACCTGTCTGTCTGTCTGTCTGTCTGTCTGCCTCAACAGCCTCTCCCTTTTTGCTCTGATAACGAAAAATCACGTTTCCTCCCTCAATGTCAGATGGAGCCTTTGGTGTGTGGTTCAGGTGTGGGATACATTCACTAACTACAGGATCTTTATGTAGACAATAACTTTGCATCTTTTGAACAATGTCAGGCTCTACGACGTAGGGTGTTAGAGTGGTCTAACTGTATTGGTTTAATCAATTAATGGTTATCAAAAATTATGATTATCAAAAGATAATAGAAAACAACTTTAACTAATATTAAAAAATAGAGGAAAAAGGAGTGTGTGTGTGTGTGTGTGTGTGTGTGTGTGTGCGTGTGCGTGCTTGCCATAAAAGGTCTATGGCCTCTGACCAGATGTTTGGACCAACAGTCCAATGGAGATGAAAAAGAGTTACGGGTGAGCTGCGGGTGTCAGCTGGCAGTCCTGTGAGCCAGGCTGATCAGAATTGTGGTTCTGAAGTCCAAACAGTCTCTGCTGTGCGATGTCCGCGTGTGCAGGTATCGCAGGAAAAAGCAGGCTTTTGTGCCGTGCTATAAACCTATGACGTGCGTCGTCGGTGGGTCAGGCCGCACCGAGGTCCAGAACTTATCACCCGGTGTGGGTGTGTGAGAGCGAGTTGAAGGGAGAAGCAGAAGAGAGAGGGAGAAGAGCGTCTCTCTGGCTTAAATAGCCGGGATGACGGGTCTGGGGTCCGAAGATCTCTGACCAATGAAAGGCCGGTGTTTGGCCGTTTTATTGCCTTTATGACACACCTTGCCCACATTCCGGGACCCCCACTGTGAGGTCTGTTATCTGGCGGGCGTGTTCCCTTTGTCTAAAAGACTACTACAATCAGGCCTTTACTTTTACATACAGGCCACTGTAGAAAAGACCATCTTCTTTGTGTGAGCACATGGTCAGATTCCAACATGTTCCTTTTGGTCCAGATAAACACTTCAAATGAACAAGTTCGTGTTTAAAGGTATCCTTGGATCCCAGCAACAACTAGTAGATGGATTTAATATCCCTAGATCGCACTTCTTTAGGTATCTACAATTGCGAAACTTTATAGCCTCACATTCCAATTGCTTTCCCTTATATCCCCCAGTATCTTTGTTATACTCTATTTTCAAGCTGGGGAAAAACTTAAAGCAAGTTATAGGTAAGCTATATGGCCTTCTCAGTCTATTTAACTTGTCAACTTTAGATTATCTCAAACACAAATGGGAAGAGGATTTAAATGAACAGACTCCAGATGCAGTGTGGCAGAAAGTTATCAGGAGCATTCACACATCATCTACTTGTCAAAGACATAGGCTACAGTTGTACAATTCAAAATAGTGCACCGACTTCACTGGTCAATGGTTAGGCTGTCCAAAATCAGACCAGAGTTAAACCCTACTTGCGATAGATGTAAGCAAGCTCCTGCAACTCTATTAAACATGTTTTGGACATGTCCAAGACTACACAACTTCTGGCAGTCAATTTTCAACACTCTCTATAAAATATTAATGCAGCCAATAGATCCATCCCCCCTTACTGCTCTATTTGGTGTCACTCTGGTGTGAATTTAAGTAATTGTAAGTCCAATGTGGTGGCCTTTTGAACATGCGATGCAGGTCTGGTGGGATAGAAGGGTGGGGGGTGATGGCTAGGGATTGGTTATTGTTTATATTGTGTTTTTGTTCTGCATGTTGTGAAAATGTTAAATTAAAAAAAAGTTAGACGTGAAGATACTTGTAAAAAAGAGCTGCAACATAACAGTAACTTATAATAACAATCGGATCCTGACAGCATTATGAAAAGGATCCCTACTGAAATAGACCTTTTTTTAACCAGAAACAGCCGTAATATCAATATCACTTGACACCAGACTCCATAAACAATAATTTTACCTTGCATATCACTGTGACATCACACAGAAACCAAAAAGAAACCTCACCAAAACAGTCTTTATTAGCCTTTCCACTGTTCCAATAATCACCAACACTGCTTTGGTGTAAATGAATCCTTAATAACTTAATTAGTAATTAACTGAAATAGATAATAAAAATAGCAGTTTCAGTCGCTCTACTCAGCTGCATACGGAGCAGAAGGGCTATTGAAACTAGTGTTGGGCGATATCACAAGATTTGGTATTGATCCGATACCGATCTGATACCAGTCAGTATCACTGATACCGATACCGATACTTACAACGCTCCTCTAAAATAACATGTTTCAAAGGGATAAATGTATTATTTCAAGGTCTAAGCATACTTTATTGAGTTGGCTAAAGTAACAAATGACTAGTTGCAATTAAGAATATATATTAACTAATGCCGAAGATGAACAAAATATAACTTTCACTATTATCTACCTGTATACTCTCTGCCAAACTGAAAGGCCTCTGTTAATGACCGCTGCCTCTTGGTCGGTGGGGTGGGTCTGTCGGGGCCAGGGGGTGGGGGATTTCTCTCCTCCTCTCTCCGCTTCTGTAGCTCTATATTTTCTTTTGAATTATTTTTCATGTGCTTGTATAAATTCGTAATATTGCCACTGTATTTTACAGCCTGTTTACAAACTAAACAATTTGCAGTTGTTTCATTTGTAACCTGAAAATAAAGCCACAGAGCGCTCCTCTTTCTCTCCGCCATTCTTCTGCTCCATCTCTCATCTGTGTGTGTGTGTGTGTTTGACTACTGACCGGCAGACCTGCTTGCTTGTTTACCTGGGTCAAGTGACATTAAAGCACAAGAGGGGGGAGGAGGTGCAGAGTGTGCCTGGCTGTGCTCCACGCTGTGACAGGGGCGGGACTCAAAAGCAGAGGCACTTACACAGAGACTGACAGCCAGGTCAACAGGACAGAAACTGAAACTAAAGTATCGACCTCATTACACTGGTATCGATCAATGTCAATACCAACGTTAGATCGATATATCGATGTTTTGGATCGATCCGCCCACCACTAATTGAAACTAAGACCACAAAGAGCCTGTGATAACAACACAGGCAGAGGGCGTGAGACACCATGATAACACCAATATAACTTTACATAGATAATAGTTAATATATTAATGTTCTAAATCTCATAACCTTAAGAAGACAAACAGCTAAAAGTTTTATTTGGTCTTTTGGTAAGTAAGTAATATTACTAGTAATACTGGAGGAGTATGTCATGTTAACCAGGGGAGGATAAAAAAAGTAAAGACTTGAGTCCTAGTCATGTGGATCAACTCCACACCTCAGGATTTTGGTATATTCTTGGCTGGATGTGTAGGCTTTTCTTTATGTTTATAACAAGACTAATACACAGAGGTCCTGATGGATTGTTGCAGTACTGGGTGTGTATCTGTAAATGTGGGTAGTTGATGCAATGGAAGGTCCCTGTAGTGGGAGAAAATGACCTTAGCATAGCAGAGGCCTGTGAGAGCCTCTTCCTACACTAACCCAATTACTTCTTGAACATGAATGATATGGCTCAGCACTGCAGTTTCTGGCTTCACCGTGGCATGTAACATAGGAACAAAAGCTTTACATTGGTGGCACTGTGAGGACATGATGGTACATGATGAAGAAGAGGCCCTGCTGATGTGAACAGGATCAAGTTGAGTCCTGATTTAGCAACAGGAGAGCCTTTGTGTTTGCCATGAGGCGCAGGGACTGAAGCAGCGTAGGTCATGTGAATTGTCAGTGTTCATCACCACAACTAGCGTGGACATCATTGTTCCATTACAACGACACATCAACATTTCGTGACAGAGTTCAGGATTGGACACACCATTAGTGCTATGCTCATCAGACTTACAGCCCTGCCTGGTGCTTATTAATGAACTTCATTATCTTGGTGTAAAACAGAGCACAGTGCAATGAGATGTTCTTTTAATAGAACTGGGGAGTTGATTTTCCTAAATGAAGACCGCATGCGTGGACCTACCACACCCAGCATTCAGCTCTTGATATATTTCAATATCCTTGTCCCTCCAGAATTGCATGACTTGGAGCTAAAGTACAAGGTTTTCATATCCCAGGCCAAGAAATTTGGCAGCCCTGCCCTTATTACCATGACCCTCGGCTGCTCCTTTTAGCGTATTTTGGGATTGAAATCAAGCAGAGCGTAACGACCTTTACCCCAGAACCAAACATAGCTCATGAGAGCTTTGTTATCCAGAAATCAGAAGATCTGAGTCACTGGTCGTCATCCCTTCAACACAAGGTTGCCATGCTATTCCGTGGCATTTATTGGGTCACTGCGGATTGACTTATAAGGCTCACAACAGACTTTTATAATGGAAATTTTATTTCATAGCACAGACACACACAGCTGGTTTCAAGTGTTGTGTTACATTTAATGGCATTATTATTTATGTATGAAGACCTTGCAATTGCAAATTATTTTATTACAATCAGCACGCCTTTTATGAATAAACTTAACAATACACTCCTGATAATTCAAGCAAAGGCAAAAATAATGTGGTTGTGAAACTTTTATGGTTAACAAGACCAAAACAACATTAAAAAGTGAGTCTTAAAGCTTACCATTGCCATTATGTGCCTCACACAGTACTGTCAAAATAATGTGTGAAATACTGTGAAAATATTTAAATACTTCATAATTACAACAAATGTAGTGGTTTTGGAAATGTTATTAACAATACAAAAGCTGCATACTTTTCTTCAACAACATAAAGATTTAACAAGATGCAGGAAATTAGAAAAAACGCTGTATGATAATGTAAAAGGAATTCATGTACATATATATAAAAAAAATCTTCTTTTTGGAGTTCATATTATGTTCAACACATCCCTCAAAACAACATCAATGGTAAAGAGACAGGAAGCATCATGAGGCCGGAATAATAATCAAAGCAGATTTATGATCAAAGTGCTTGGTGATAGGATGGAGTAGATGGGCCATACTTAGCTGACAGTTTAGTTTTACAAACATTTCTCACTACTCTGGAGGCAGAAATAATCTCACTGGTTGAGTTAAATGTTGGGGTGCGGGGCTAAATAACACTAGCTGTGTGAAAATATTTGAAGCACTTAAAAGGCAAAAGCTAAAAGTGGAGGTACCTAAGATTGGAAATCCTGGTGATGGTTGCTAAATACATTACATATACATTAACTAATAGGTCAGCTAGTTTGATTATCTTAAAGGCATACTATGCAAGATTTTTACCTTAATATAACAGCTTCGAAGTCATTTCGATGGTAAACAAACTCGTAGTATAGCGAATCATCCCGATAGCAAAGCAGGAGAGGGACGCCGTTGGCAGAACCAGCAATGCAAGTCTGAAAGGTGGCGTCCTGCCAAATCTTGCAATAATCACAAATTGCTTTACAGCGACGTCACATACATCAGCGACATAAGAAGCAGCCTCAATGGAAGACACTAGCAGGCATTCACTCAGACGTTACCTGGTCAGTAGACATCTTCGGAGTCTATCTTTGCCTGGTCGATGTCCGACGCTTCCATCCTACTGAACATGTACCGGTATACAGGGGGGAGGGGATCAGGCCGTGAGTGCAGAGACGCAGAGCCGTATATAGAGACGGCTCTGGTGAGTGGTATTCACGACAGTTAACATTAAATACAAGTACTCCGCAGCGACTCTAGGGGTAGCTGTTTGACAAAACCGGAAAACTGCATAGTATGCCTTTAACCTAAAACCTAAAGATCCCTTCCAGACATGCATTAAGAAATATAAAAAGTCTACTATTTCCACATTAAAATCTCAGAATATGCAAATGTTGTTCATTTCTAAAGTTTTCCTGCTGGACACAAGATATCTCCTCCTTCACTGTAAAGTCCATTCTCAGTGGATGTGCACTGGTGGCTTCAAGTTTCTACATCACACTGTACAAGTTGATACTGGACCAGGACTGACTTCCAAACTATTTGTGATGTCACAAATCATGCTGGTAGGCAGCAGATGAATGTGAAAACATCCTTCTAGTGTCAAACTCTGCACATACATCATTCAAACATCACACTGTAGGGACAAGAAGAAACACGGATTTCTGACTGGAGGGGGCTTTAAGAGTTCCAACCAAGTGTTTAAAAGACCTGTGTGTAGGATTTAGTGGGATCTAGTGGTGAAGTTGCAGATTGCAACCATTTGAATACAGCTCAGCCTTCCAAATGTGAGGGAGAAACTACAGTGGCTGCCAAACACGCAAAATCACCTACAGTCAGTGACAAAATGACAGACTCTGTAGTAGAGGACTCACTCCCTCTTTAGATAAAAACTGTTCATTCAAGGTAACAAAAACACAATTCCTATTTTCAGGTGATTGTACACTAATGGAAACATACCTATGAATATTATATTCCATTTCTGACAATAAACAATCCTTAATGTTACACACTGGACCTTTAAAAAGATATTAAGACTTAGGTTTGGGAAAGTATCTGCTTGGCTGATGTGAGCCCATCTCACTCAGCCACTGCTCATGTCTCTGCCCAGATTTGGTTTTTCAGGCCTCAGAAACTACCAAAATGACATCTAGTGATAAATCTGTTACAAATGCTGCCTGTAATTTAAACTTACCATTTATAGCATCTATCTGTCTGCTCGTTAGCCAGCCAGCTGACATTTTGTAAAAGAACACTCTCCACTTTTTAAAGCTCTGTCTGATGAGCTTTAACTCAACCTGTGAGATTATTTCCTCCTGTCCGCTGTCCATTCTACTGACAGTAACAGTAACATCCTAATACACATTTGAGGCATGTATGTTTGGTACACTGTGAGGTCAGATGTTTGAATCGCATGCATTGGTAATAGAAGGCTGGTGTAGGTCCATCCTTTGTCCTGTTGAGTCCAATATGACTGCTTCAAGGCTGTCAAATACGGAGCTTCTTCTTTCTATTAAAGTGCCACACTGGCAGTCCTGCTGTGAGCTGTACTCACTGGTCGACAAAGTTAATCCGATATGTGAGCTGATGGCCATTGTCCCAGGCGTACAGAACCTTCTCTTTGGGATTGTAGTCAATCTGGGTTGTGAAGGCGTACTCGTTGGTGAAGGGCAGGCGTGGGATGGCTTCAGTGTTGGTGTGCGTGTCATAAGCATAGTTTACTTCACCTTCCTTTTGGTTGTAGACATTGACGGCGTATAACACACCACAGATGATGAAGCAGTTCCCATAGGAGTTCCGCTTGAGACCTGTCCTCCAGGTTGTTTCCTTTTTCAATGTCAGGTCTCCGGGATCCAGTTTACTGATGATTATCACCTCCTGCTGGTTGTAATCGTAGTCCACGGAGGGGTAGATCACCCACAGGCCGCTTTCGTCCACTGCAAAGTCAATGTCCGAGTGGCCCCTCCATTTCCAGGGGGTGGTGTCCTCGTAAACCACGTCATGCAGCAGCGTCCAGGCCGCCACGTATCGCATTCTCAGATCATACTTGATTATGTTCTTGGTGAAAGCTCTGTTGTAGTAGAAGGCTCCATTATAAACCACATGACCGGTGCCTATCCAGTTGTAAGGTAGTTTGAAGAGGTTGCTCCATCGGCCTGCAACAAAAAAGAATATTACGTTAGCTTTATTATAAAGCATGGGTGAAAACTCAATTCTTATTTGCCAATGAACACATTCTGTTACACAAAACAGACCACTGTTTCACCTCTGATGCAACTGCCTCCATCAATTATCATCAGTGACTGCTCCATTGTGGCTCCAAGAAAAGCCATCTATCCTTCTCATCCGCTTCAGGCAAACTCAACACAAAAAAACACTAATGGATTTTCAGGCTCTGCACTGCCAGGACCACAATGAGCCCTAAACACAATCCAGGACTCTAATATCCCTTCACAAAACCTTCAAAAATATGGTAGACATCTCACAAGGTCTAACCTACAGCCCATGATCAGAATACTCCACAGTCAACTGGATTCATGTTAATGTTAATTCGTCAATGGTCGTGGTCCACGACCCCTTTTTTGGACCACCTGTTAAAGACCCTGTGAAGACTCGCCTTGAGACTTATCTGTCTTATCTAGTTTTGCAAAGTGTCATTGGGTGACTTAAAAGGTGCCTATAAATAAAATGCATTATTGAAAGCAAAAACACCTAATAGTATGACATGATAACATCCCATAACATAAAAAAGCAAGACAGCCACAGGTATGCCTTGCATAGCCATACATAACATTTGAATATTCCCATGCACTGAAAGATTTTGCAGCTATGCAAGCAACACTATTAATGCAACTTTGAAAGGAAACAGTTCAAATTTTGTTAAGATGCTCAGGCCTGAAAGAACTGCAACTGACAATTTTCTTATGATTCATTGAGACTTGACTTGGACCTCCCCCCAAAACAGCTCTGCTAGACAGTCCTGAGAGGCCAACATGTGGTAAATTTAGCTTAAAATAAAATGATTAATGTGTTGGTCAACCGCCTTTAATACAGTAAGTACTATTGTATACTGTATATAATATAATACTGTACATGACAAGCTGGTCATAATTGCCAGCCCCTTTAGGATGCTCAAGACCCCTCTGATGTGCTTATTTATACATTAATCTTTACTTATTATGAGTTGGATACATTGGCCAGAGTGTGTTCTAAGCTGATATTGTGCCCTTCATAGAGCCAATGACAATGTTTTCATAATGCCAGACTGTGTACACACTGGCTTCATGTGACAGTGACAAAGTTTGTTTAGTGGTTCACTCCTGAGCAAACACATTATGTACTGTAGGTGTCATTTTCTAATCACATCCTATCTGCTATCCTAACCTTCCAACCTCAGGAAGTGTGATTTAGATAATGATAATAAATGGGAAGCCCAGTGAAGGACAAAAACAACGTGCAGTAGAGCATACCCCCTACCCCCACCCCCACCCCCAGCGTCCTCATCCGTAAGGCCAGCCCACACTCCTAATCCCTCTCCACTGTGCCCAGTTCAAAGAAAAGGCCAGAGCACATGTCAGGGAACAGCAGGCATCACCGCCACTCCAAATACCTAGTCATCCGCACACAGCTGTGAGCTCACCGCACAGCAGGACGCCTCACATGTAAGTGCATTTAGAAAGCCCATTGTCCAAACACATCTAGATCAACAAGCTGGGTCCTACGAGGGGAGATCATCTTAACTCTCTTAGAGAGTGTAATCCAATTCCTCAGTAGATTTGGATGTGGAAGGAGTTGATTTTCCCACCCACTGGAGCCATAAAACAACCAAGACCTGCATTCCACAGATCTCATCAGTCTCACAGAACAATCAACATGAATCAGTGTCAATGATGTTATTAGAGAAAACACATCGGGGTGATACTAGAGTCAGACCAATATGTTGGGATAATAATGGTGTTTGGAGTTAGATGATGAAAAAGATGTAAAAGTGAAGATACGTGTCGGTCTGTAAACACTGAAAATAAGCCTCTTACGAAGCTGCTGAGTCAGCCAAAACCATATAACACACTTTAAAACCCCCCATTCAACTCTCCTGTATCCCCCTCAAAGCCTCACAGTTTGAAAACATCTGCTGTAGGCCATGCCGTAGCTGACATGCACTTCCTCAAAAATATAACTGAATAGATAAGTCAGCTTGTTTGTAAGGTGAGGTAGGTGACAGTGAAGACAACTTAAAGGAAGCCAGAGAATTAAATTAAATTCTCTTCTACTTTTAAGTAGCATACAGCTTATCTCCACTCTCTACCGCATTGAGTGAATGAGACTTCAATTGTACAAAAGTGGTCTTTTCAGTACTGAGACAAGGGGAAATTACGAGGATGTAACCTTAATTTACTGCTGTGTATCAAAATAAAGTGAAACAATTACTGAGGTGAATATAATTAAAGCAGGACACAAATGTATCATATCATGTTCAATACATTTGTATTACGTAAGCGCCATCAAGGGCAAAAATGGACAACACAAAACAGCCAAGTGGCCTTGCTCCTAAAATGATGAAATTCCAGGCCTGGTGCCAACAACAGGTAAAATCCTACATTGAACTAAGAATCAAAACCTAAGCCTCACTAATCTATGGCAGCACTCCTGTTAACCCCTTCCATTAAACATAAATACTGCTTAGGTCTAGGGATAATGGTGGGTAAATGGCGCGTTGTAAAAAGACCCAACTGAAGCACACCTTGCTTGAAGTTGTCCAGGTTGCGGAACTCCACCAGGTTGTTGCCGTAGTAATAGTTAGTTACGTAGATCTTGGAGTCTTTAGCCAGAGGATCCTTCATCCAGGCTCCCTCATTGCGCCCATAACTGTGCTGCTTCTCTGGCTGCTCAATGGACGCTACAGTCCCCTCACAGTTGAGGATCTTCCCTGGAAGAAACAAGCAGAACATTCAGCATGTACGCCTTGGAGAGAATGACTTGCATTAATATGGTCTTAAATCGATTTCATGCATACATTTCTTAGCAGAGTAAACCCACACGCTGCTAAACTGGCTTCTGTCACTGCAGTCAAAGCCTGCAACAGAATACAGAGCCCTTTCACAGAGGGATATCTAGCACGTACCTGCTCTGTGGAGAGTGGGCCGACTGTTGTTGTTGGAGTTGTCCAGAACCAGCACAATGGTTGGAGCTGGTCTTTCAGAAGCTGGCGTACTTTGTGTGGTGATAGTAGTGGGTGTGATGGTGCTGGTAGTAGTTGTGGTGGTGGTGGTGGCGGCAGTAGTTGTAGTGGTGGGAACTGCAGTGGTGACAATGGGTTCATCCACAGTGGCCTCCACGGTTTCCAGGACAATTTCAGCTCCTCCCTCCTCTGACTGGTTTTCTGTGATGTGATGGACCGTGTATGTTTTGGCAGAATGGTCTGGTAGGGAGGGGAGGAAGTGTGCAGTCAGACCAAATACAAAAAATCTAAGTTTCTACACAGTTAGTAGCAGATGCCCATACAAGATCAGATGGCTGAGTGGTATCAGAGGAGAGTAGAGCTGAACAAGCTGCTTCTTGTTGGTAGTGAAGGTTACATTATGGCAGCATGATCCAGTAGTGTGTAGGGACATTGTCTCTAAATTGTCTTTCAAGTGTCTTTTAAAAAGGCTTTTTAAACCTTTAATTCAGTAGATGGTAGATACAGCATATGGCTCCTCGATAGCAGAAGAAATATTATAATTTGCTGTGTTCCAGAAGTTCACATCAAAGGAAGCACATTAGCAATGCGGCACACAGAGAACAAAAAGCTTCCTCCCTCTTCTCTGAACTTCTTCTCTTTCTTGCCTCCCTCACCCAGCCTGTTCTGCTTTCTTAGTAATTCTTAATAGAAAAAATTAAGAATGGGAGCAATATGCATCAAAGTGTTTTTCAATTTAAGTTCATTTAGTTTTAAAAGAGATTTACATTAAAATAATCTTTTTAAGTAAAACAAACTCAATTTGGTAAGTTAAAACATTCATGATGGAGTAGCTTTAGTATTTAACACTGACTTAATTTTGTATTTGTATTTGTACTGTGAAAACAAAATACCCAGTAAAATGTACTTCAATCAGGAATGTTACTGTTACTTACAAAAGTAAGTTGTCACTTAAAATTACTAATAAAAGCTGCTTCATCAAGAATCTTTTTGAACTTACAAAATTGAGTTTGTGTTAAATTTTCAATGTAATCCGTTTCAAAAAATGTTTTTGCATTGCAGCTGCAACCTAAGAAAAGATTTCATTGTATCTATGGGTTTCATTGGAGAGTGTTCAGGTCTCAGCATGATTGAAATCAAGTGTTTGTCAGATCGTCTAACTGCCAGTGTTAATTTTTTCAGTGAAAACAAATTCCTAAAAATATGAATTCACAAGGTTATTTGAAATAAAAATGGGACTAAAATTAAATAAAAAACAGAAATATTGAAAATGAAAACTGTGACAAATTGTAATTATAAATAAAAGATGAAGATAGAAGATACAAATTTTGCAATGTTATACAGTATCTGTGCCAGTAATGCTATCTAATGTTAACATTCAAACTGCAAAAACAGGCACCAACATTTGTAACAATCTGACACTCTTTGTCTGACAGTTTTTGTAACTTCTGACAATGTGACAATCACACCAGCTTAAGAGCAATTGGCCTGGTGTGCAAAGTTGTTAGAGTTGGGCTTTGTACCAAGCTAGTACCTCTATCACTTTTCATGTGCATTTCAGTGCAACACCATCAATGCCACTGGCACTGGCAAGACTGTGTGACCGGGGGATCCAGAGAAATATTAATGGGACATTCAGAGGGTGGCATGGAGACTTTAAGGGTGAAAGAAATATATGATTGCATACCCAATTGAAGATATTTGAACTCAAAAACATTATTGTGACACATTAGTAAAGCTTTGAATAGAAATATCTAAAAATGGCGTTAGAAATCAATACATTGTTTTATTTTCAAATTTTCATACATATTTCCAAATACGTGTGTACTTATTTAACTTAATGTGGCCATAACAGATCATTAAATTAATTTCTACATTTAACACATTACTTTTAAAAGGGAAGGCAGCTGGGGGGCCAGGCATCCCATCCATGCCTGCTGTTTGAGTGTGCAACGTTTCTCCATGTTTACGATTCATTGCATCTCACTTCTTTCATGGCAGCTTTTTGCCTATGATGTTCTAAATGCTTTTGCAGAGGCTTTGGAAAAAAATTCAGTAAAACACTTAATTTCTTTAATTAAAAAAAACATATTGGTCCAACTGTTGCCTCTCTTGTCTGTTGTAAATGTAGCACCAATTTCCAAACCAACCAAAGAAACAAATCTGTTACAACTATTGTATTTCTGGTTGAGTTGAGCTAATGACTCTACGTTGAGAGTGCATGAAAGAGGACTAAGTCAGCTAATCATTAACAGACGTGACATCCATCTGCATCCAGTAAAGCAGATGGGAAGCACATTGTACTAGTTCTGTTACTTTACTATTTTACAGATCAAAGACCCTTTTAAACCATTTTGATCCTGTGAGATATCTTAAAGGAAAATCTTTGTGTCAGATCCTTTATGCTTGACATTAACGGTTTTCCAAATATAAAAGAATACCAAAAATACCACAGTCTTTAAAGGTCCAGTGTGCAACATTTTGGAGTATCTATTGTCAGAAATAGGATATAATATTCATAGGTATGTTTTCATTAGTGTATAATCACCTGAAAACAAGAATCTTTGTGTTTTTGTTACCTTAGAATGAGCATTTTTATCTACAGGGGGAGCAGGTCCTCTTCTACTGAGTCGGCCATGTTGAACTGCCATGTTTCTACAGTAGCAAAGAACGGACAGACCAAACACTGGCTCTACATAGGGACTTTCATGGTTTCGAGCTTTGTGGCCCCCATAGTTTCTCCTGCACACTTGGAAGTTGAGTTGTATTGAGTTGGTTACAATGTGCAACTTCACCACTAGATGTCACTACATCGTACACACTGGAACATTTTGAAGATGAACAAAGGAATACTGAATTTGCTTTTAACATTGTCAAAGTTGCATTCTAGTTGCATGGTAGTGCAGGGCAGACTTTTCGAAACAATCTGCACGTATTGCTGTACTATCCAGCAATATTATACAGAGGTTGTAAGGATTCATTCTAGGTTACTGCTGCCACATGCTTACTCATTCAAGTTGCTGGCTGGTAAAAGAAGTGGGGGCAGGTAAGGCAAATGTTTCCTATCTTTCTACAACTTAATGCCACTGAGCAAGTAACTCAACTCAGCTGCTCAGTGGCCTAAAGCAGAGAACTGTGACTACACTGGGCATCTCCCCGTGTGTCACTGTAACTAAATTTGATGAGGGGAATTTCAGGTGTATCATACTTGCTTGAATTAATAAAAGTTCCTGCATCCTGCTCTTGGCCGGATTGCTGAGATTCACATACGTGGCAGAACACACGGTCTGACAGCGCTGTGTGCTCTGTGCAAACGTAGCATGCCTATTCACTCATCTAGACTTAAAGAGGATTGGAAGGAGTCAGCCTTGGTGAGGGTCCCCACGCATTGTTGGGAGGAGTGAAGCTGAGGCATGTCATGGACATGGCAGCACTCCATTGAGACAGCATTCCATCAGCTCCATGTAATTTGTCAATAAAAGATTTGGATTTCCTGCTCGTTGAACGCGCACCAGCAATCCAATCCTGCGCTGACTAGGCCAGCTTTGCTAAAAACAACATCGAAATAAATCTTGTATTGAGGTGATCTTGTGTGCCACTCAGCGATGGATCCCTGTTTTATTGCCTTGCACTTAAGTGTAAAGTTTGCAAGACAATTACAGTCTTATCTCACACTTGTGTAAAACAACATTCCCAGAAACGCTTTATATTGTCCTCTACTGGAAGCTAAATCCAGCTTATTAAGATCTTGAATCTGGCTCTGTGACTCTCTGGCTTCTGATCCTGATCCAGCAAGGTGCCATGTGGGGTCAGATTAGATTGCTGAAGAAACTAATTTGGATAATTTTCAGCACCCAGAGTGGATCACACACAGATGATCGCACACAGATGGGAGTGCAAACTCAGCTAAAGTGCAAGCACAATGTTTGCTTTAGCTCAGAGAGAGAGGCTTTCTATGAACACACCACTATGCTGGGAGAGTATACAGAAAGTCCCGGCCAAGCTGAAAACTCTCACCTCCTCTGTGCTCATCCTCATCGTTCTTGGCAGCCTTGTAGTATGTGATGCCCCTCACCACGCCAGGCTGGTTGCCAACCACCTTGGCTTTGGCCGTAGGGTCAGGCTTGAGCGGCTTCCCAGGTTTAATGACCTCTTTCTTGGGCTTTACGACCTTTTCTTTGGGTGGTTTGGGTGGGGGTTTGGCTCCAGGGGTCTTTTTGTTGGGTATTTTTACAGCCTCCTTGGTTTTCTCTCCATTAGTGTCCTGTAAAAATGGGCATTCAGGTTATGTCAGGACACTAGGTAAGATTGGCTTGACTACGCTTATGAAACTGCAAACCGAATGTATTGAAGTATGACGTGTGACATGTGATATACATACTGATAATGTCTCAATTTCAAAAAATATTGTGTTGCATTATTTTGTCTTGTGATATTGTGTTGATTCCCAAAAACGCTGTATCAGCCTAGCTTACAGTATTGCAATATATTGCAATATATTAAACTGGAACCCCATTATTGTAAAATGTATCATATTGCCAAATTATTTCCAATACACTGCCCTAATAACCTTACACTACTATTACTACTACTGTTAATAATGTTACCAATGTTACAACTAGAACAGCTGCTGACACTATTACTACTGCTCCGAAAGCATTACAGTTGTAGCTGTACTAACAGAAGGACTGTAGTCAAGAGTGGAGTCAGAGATAAGACCAAGTCCAACAGTTTCGAGTCCAAAAACAAACAAAACTCATTCAATATTGTTCACACTTTTGTCTTATTTTTCATAGTGACAATCAGTGGTGATATAACTTTGAATATTCAGTATGGTCCTTTTGGATTCATAAAAGTTTGAAATTGTGATTGGAACAGGTGGAAACTTGCCTTAATGTTCCATTATTTAGTCATGATTACAACAAACATTCTTGCACAATGCTACAGCTACAGTAATTCTTGCTCATGCAGTGGAAACAAGCTTTCAATATTGACATTATCGCCTTCAACCCTTGTGTAGTCCTCCCGTCAACCATGGAACTTTAGTCCTCCCGGGTCAAAAAAGACCCGATGGTATTAGACTGTTTTTAGTGTAGAAAAAAATGATTAGCTATTTATTTTTTCACCTTTTTAGGTAAAGTCAAGACCAACACATTGATATATAATTTTCATCTTTTTTTCCAGGAATAATGGTCAGTTTTAGTCAAATATACAAAATTAGGCCTCATTTACGAGTGGAAAAATGTAATAAAACCTGAATATTTTTTTCAATAGTTATAGTGAAAAAATAATTTATTGATGGGTATGCACAGAGTGGGATATGAAAAGGGTTGGTGAAACATCTGTTTTGAAAGCATTGTACATTTTTGGAATCACACCTGTGGTCCTACAAATGAACCATTTAGAACTAATATAAACAAAACCTATACATTTGTTTTTGTTTCATCTTCTCAGTCAATTCACAACACATTGAACAACAACACATTTATTCAGCACTTTCAATCACAAGCTGTTGTATGTCAAATATTGTGTGTATCTGTATTTGTGACTATGTGTGCATGCATGTGTGCTTGTTGCTCTGTGTGTGTGCATCCTTGTGAGAAGATATGTACCTGTGAGTGTGCCTGTGTGTGTGATTGTGTGTGTGTGCTTGTGCCTTTATATGCATCATGGATAATGTGTGGTCACAGTTCTGTGACTTTTGGAAATATACGTATTGCACTTGCTACACTTGATACTTGTTTTGTTGTCATTACATTACATGACATTACTGTAAAAGACAGCAGTATGATTTGGGGCTTTAGGTCTTCCCTTTGTCTTACAGCTGTGTCCCGATGTGCAGTGCTCAGGAGAAGCACATTTATGATGCTGATGAGCACAGTGGGACTGAACCAAACAGTACATTTGTGAGCTGAAGGAAACTGCAGTCAGGTGACAATTCTCTATAAGTTTATCACAAGTGACCATTTCAAAACCATGTGGTCCATTCAATTTTAATCATTATCCAGTAAATATACAAATATTTGTTATAGCAAATTTAAATAAATTGTGTGACATTTATATGTATGCCTATTTGTTTTCATGCTGAGAATTTGATGAGAAGATGAATACCACTCTCACACCTGTAAATAGGAAGCTAATGCAATTGCTGGTAGGTGGACCAAAGACTATAAAAAGTGAGGCAGATAATAATAGAAAAACTGTCTTGAGACTGAAACTTGAAGCTGAGACTGAACTTCTACACTGCTGACTAACACACCATTTGTGATGTACTGCTAATCTTACAACTACTATTACTAGTATAACTATTGAGAGTTTCTTCCCACCTGTGCTTTGCTCTCAGAGGAGTCTTTCTGCAGCAGCTGCAGGCTGAGGCTGGAGATCTCCTTCTTGATGCTCATCATAATGTTGGAGTAATTCTCATATCTCTTAAACTGGTTGGTCAGGCTTGTCATGCTGTCCCGAACAAAGTCATTCTCTCGTGTAAGGTTTGTCTTGATTGTCTGCAAGACAAAATCATTATCATCACAGTTATGACTGTTCATTCAATGACAGAAAAGTCTCCTAGCAACCCTTTGAATATAGTGATATGAGGAAGTACATGAGTCTGGTTGTTCGCCTACCTCTTCCAGGGTGTTCATCTGAGAGACCACCTTGTTGATGTAGGAGTGGACTTTCATTAGATCCATGCTGTAAAGTGTTCCCTCAAGGAGGTCCACCATAGATTGGAGCTGCCATAAAAGGAGAGGAACTAGTGTTATTCCCCATCTCCTGAACACAAACCTGACAGCTTTATGTGCCTCTGTTCAACTGCAGTAATAGCGTAAGTGCCCTCAAAAACATTTGCTGTGATTACCACTATTGACACATCCACTCTGCTCAATAGGCAGCCCAGTGCTCTGAGCCTGGGGTTCATTCAGAGTCCATCTTAATTAATTTAGACCTTTCCTTTTTAATGTGATGGTTTCCTTCAGAGATTTACTGGGTTAATCTATAGTGTAAAGTGGAGTCAGATCAAACATCTGGAACTGCCTTTTGTTTCATATGGTACATAGCGTGCTTTTCCTGCCTGTGAAAAATGTTTTAGGTATGTGCAGTGGTGTGCTGACGTGTTCACAAAAGATGTTAGATGACATCCAACTAAGGCCCGGTCAGAGTTGAAGAATGACCCTCTATGCTTTTAAACTGGAGGGCCCTTTCGTGTCACTGATTGCTTTTTTTTTTTTTTACAAGCACTAAGAGTTCTAGGGTATTCATTTTCATTCATTTGACTATTTTACAGATTGTATCCATGTGTTTGCGTATGTTGTATTTGTCTTTATCACTTCTAAATTTCATTACATTTCCTTCTCTAATGACCTAATTCAATTTCCAACCACAGGTTATGGATTATTATGTTGAGTTCATCTTACTGCAGTGCTGATATGGAGGTATGAAAGTGGTAATGGTGACTATATCCTTTGTGGCTGGGTTTGAGGACTGCAGTATTGTCAGGCTGCAGCTATCAATTATTTTCAGAAATTATTAATTTGTTAATTATTTTCTCAATTTATAATTTTGTCAATAAAAGGTCAGAAAATAGTAAAACATGGCCAACAAGATGCCTTCATACTGCTTGTACTGTCCAACCAACAGTCCAAAAACCAAAAGATATTTAGTTTACTGTCACATAAGACCAAGAAAAGCAGCACATCGTTACATTTGGGAAGTTGGAGCCAGCAAATGTTTGGCATATTTTCTTGAAAACTGATTCAAAGAATTATTTAAAAAGTAATTTTTTCCCGTTCACTGACTTTTATTGTATTAGCTCTACAGTATTAGTTCATGTCAGTGTTTTGGTCCAGAGCAGGTGTTAAACTTTGTATGGGTATTCATTATTGCCAGAAGATGATTTCAAATTATTGTGGTGGCTCCCTGACCTTTCTGTTCAGTGCCACCATTTCCATTTGTACATAAGAAACATTACATTGGGTATACTGCACTGAAATCTGCTGAGGATATTCCATAGATTGTATAGATAAAAACTGAAGTTTTTCTGAAGAGCCGTTGTAAAGCTCAGTGTGGTCGGCTCAGTCCTGACTTTGCTGGGTCCCAACTAATCCAAAAATAGGAAAAGAAATGGAGCGTGGGTGGAGTTGAGGTGGGCTGTGTAAAGCCTGGTTACTGAAAACAGCTGCCTGTGATGGCACCCACCTGTCACTCAAAGACAGCACTCCCTTAAAAATGCATAACTTTAAGCCTTAATGTAATTTAAACAGGTGAACTATATAGAAATTCACCCCCTGTACAACTATAGAGCCGCGATTTTTGTACCAGGCTGTGAACACGTTTATTTCTGCTGTAAAGCATTTTGATATGGGGCTTTATAGAGATTGACTCACTTCTGGAACCAGCCTGAAGTGGCCATAAGAGGAAATGCAGCCACAGAGGTTGCCGATTGGGGAAACTGAAACTTTTTTTTATTCTGTGTTGTAATAAACATTGGTGCTAGTGGGGCTTTTGAGCTTTTTTTCTTGTTAAAAACTGTTCCCTGTCTGGTGTACCAGAAAAGTCACCAAAAGACTGTTATGAATTAGCAATTGTATTTTGATCAAACAAGAGCTTTAAAGTACAAATTTTCTAATAAATAGTATAGTATATACAATATATCCAACACTATTGTGCAGTTGCTAATTCATGACAGTCCTTTGATGATTTTTGGGTGCAAAGCAATAAATTTATGTAAGCAGGAATCGTCTACCTTTTCTAAAAACAAAAAACATAGGATTATTGTAAGATGCTATGATCACAAAAATATTCTACATACTATAGTGGCTTTAAGTTTCATCGTTCCTTACCTTTAGTAACTCTGGGGCCTGTTTCTTCAGCTTCTCCATCTTCCACTCGTTCTCACAGGGGTTGAGGGAGGACGGCGGGGCCGTGCACGAGCACTTACAGTCGGATCCAGAGCTGACTGTCTCCACCGTGTAGAAATCTTCCACACGTACACTGCCACTCCGCAGCCGCAGGCAGGCATCCTTACTTAGAGGGCGCATGATGCACTTACAGCGGCAGTCTGAACCCTCTGACGTCATCCGAACAGGCTCAGTCTCCCCAAAGATCTGGAAGACAGAATGTGAATCGTCCCATTTTTATATCCAATGAAAATTGGTATTTTGAAAGTTGTTATGTTGTCCTTTTATTCTTACTCATATGTTTTTCTTAGATGCATGAAGTGGAAATGTCTTTTTATAGCAGTACTATTGTAAACCAGAACAATGATTAAACATATTAGGTGTGGACATCCACGGCCTAATTTTCACTGTATATTTATCCAAACCCAAAATCCAAAAGTGTCGCAATTTATTTATTTAAGGTAAATACTGAGCTGTCCTTCCACCTTCCAGTCATCTATTCCATCAGTCTATCCCCTGCTGGCCTTCTACGAATAATAAATCATTTTTTTATTGAAGGGAAACAAAAACAAGGGAAGGAAAGTGATCCTGAAAAATAACCACATGCTTCCCCTCTTTTGAATGTTAGCTGGTGTGACTCAGAGCAAAGCCTCAGAGACAAACATAACTCACAAGACTCCTGCATCACCAGCTGGCCTTTGGCAGTCATGTATGATGACAGAGCTCTGGCAGGCCGTGGTCATGGCTTACTTAACAAACAGGAAGCAATATATGGCAGCCTGTGCAGACATTCTGCACTCTTCATATGTGAGACAAGTGCAGCATGGCAAACACTGGAAATAGCTTTCACACAAGAATTCAACTGCACAGATTTACTGCATGGTTGATGAAATGTTCAGGTGGTGGTAGTGAGTTGGCAGGCTGACATCTACTGAGAGCTCTGTGAATTTCTCCACTTTGTCTGTTAAAATTACACAGTGAAGGGTGGGCTAGTTCAAGACACTGAAACCTATTGGGTTAGATTTGTAGATTGGTTTTTGCAACAGCTGTGTTCTTGAAAATGGCCTTTTGTAGCTGCCTTGCTGTTAAGTGATGTGAATAAAGGTGTCTTCAGACTGAATTCCGTTTAATTTGTATAGCACCAAATCCTAACAAAGGTTATCTCAGGACACTTTTCGTATAGAGCTTAAACAGTTATTAACAGAGATCTAACAGTTCCCACCACAGAAAGTAAAGCAAGTTTTCATGCAAACACACAATGGGATACAAATTTGTACTTTTGTACTAATGATGTAGGTGGAGGTGAAGAGATTGAGATGTTTCAACTTGGGCAAAACAGTCACATGTATCCAGAGGCTTAAAGAGGTAAGAGGAAAGAGGAGAGAAACAGGAGACACATTGCAGATTTTATTTTATTTAAGTGTTTAAGTGTCTGCATCATTCTGTGATGGGTTTACAAGACACTAAACAACATTAGCCAGGATGGCCACATGACAAATCATAATGTACAGTCCCACAAATCCAAAAGGTCCAATTTTCATGGTAAATGGACCTGTACTTGTATAGCACCTTTCTAGTCTTCTGACCACTCAAAGCACTTTTACACTACTTGCCACAATCACCCTTTCACACACATTCACTCAGTGATGGTAAAGCCCATCCAACAGAAACTAATGCATTCATACACATTCACACACTGATGCACAGCATCGGGAGTAATTCGGGGGTAAGTATCTTGCTCAAGGATACTTTGACATGTGGCACCAGGAGCCGGGGATCGAACCAACAACCTTCCGATTAAGGGAGAACCCGCTCTGCCTCTGCACCACAGCTGCCCGACTTCATGAACAAAATGACTTTATTATGTTGGATATTTGGTCTTAATTTCAATGCATTTTCTATAAATCCTACTAAAACAAAAAACTCCTCCTTGAAGAGCCAACGCAAGATTTCACCCAGACAACCAAAACAAATCAGGGTTCTTCAACTGGATTTGTTCAAACAAATGTTCCACAAGTCATGGAATTTGAGGTCAGTCATAGTCTGAGCTGTGACAAAAGCACAGCACAGGCACCCATGAAATTCCAGCAGGTGGCAGCACCATTGGCTTCAATAACACACCGATCCCATTCACTTGAATAGAGAATGAGCCGACTTGACACTTCCTTTATGAGCTCAGTAAACAGTTTTATTTACTGACAGTTTTATTTCATTTAGTAAATTATGGTCTAATTTAAATTAAAATAGACAATAAAGTCACGTCCGCTGGCTCGCGCTGGCTCTGTTTTACTGATATGGCAGCGGCCAAAACGCCTAACTGGAGGCTACAAAACGATACTCCACAAACCAATGGGTAACGTCACGATAGGTTCACACTTGGTCAGGACAAAGAATGGCACTGAAAGCTGTTCTCCGTGGAACTTTTTTTTTCTCTCTACTCCCGACTGACTACAGTCATCCAATAAGTTGCCGAGTTTTTTTTGCCTGCCCTTTTCCAAACTATTTTAAGGACAACTTTCTAGATGGTTCTGTATAACAAATCATACGGTGTAGTCAGGTCACTTTAAAGTCTCACTGTAGTAAAACCTTGTCTGACCGTCAGCACACACCATAGAGACATCTGAAAAGACTGAAGGACTGAAAAGACAAGACTCTTATGTATCAATACGTACTGTATATTACATGTTCACATTAATGCAGCTTTTTATAGTAATAGTTTGGTTTCTCACTGGCTATCAAGATTCAGTTCATGGGATGTACCTTACTTCTGGAGAGCTTAGTTCCATCATTTGGAGTCATGGCTGTTGGATCATGTGTTGAAGGAGGTCTGGACTGTCATCTCTCCCTAAAGAGATTTAGGGACCTCTATAAAGCACAGGATGGGTGCACATGTGGTATCACTTTTATCAGGGAGAGAATTCAGCAACACAGAGATGTCCTCATGTGGTACATTCTGAGGTAGTATTCTCAGAATATGAAGAACACATTGTAGAGACTCAGGTTAAAGATTTACTGAGATGCCAGCTGAGAGGGATATAAATTAACCCTGTAAACCAATGTCTTTTCAATTCAGTCCAAAATGGTGACCATTTCTTTCTTTGTAAGGTTTGTCAATAAAAGGAAAAGTCCTCCTGGTTGTGTCTATAAATCTCTAGTTATAGTTTATCAATGAAGAGCAATGGTCTCATTTGTGGATATTTTCACAAATGAGACCATTGCCTTTCTCTGTTTTATATCGCTGTAAACTGAACATCTTTGTATTCTTGACTGTTGGTTCAACAAAAAAATACATTTGAACACATCACCTTGGACTGGGAAAATGGGATAGATATTTAAAATTTACTTAAGCAGATTAATGAATATTTAAAAATGAAAAATTATAATATCTTCAGAACCCCCGTCCATTCCAATGGACATAACTTGTTTATGATGTCTGATGTTCTATGATTACTGTCACCTGACTCCACCTAAATGCAGACGTATTTGATTGAATGTCTATGAGCCAATCACAGTGTTCCACATCAGCTAAAGTGGACTGCATTAGAGCCACACCCCCTTTTCAAGCATGGCTGACCGTGAGGCAAGGAAGAAGCATAAGGCACATTTTAATCTATTGTTATTTGTGTTTAAACTGTATTTAAAGTAAACATGATATGTTATATTACTTGTTCATGTCAAAATATCATATGAAAGGTTTGTAGCTTTTACTCAGGATGTTTTCAAAAAAATCTGTCCATAGGAATGGGCGGGAATCTGACTGTCACAGAAGGTAAATATGGAAATGATTATGAAAATATTGTTTAGATTTATTCTGACTGTTCTGATTTAATTTTCTAATAATAGAAACATTCTATAATGCATCCTGTTTGATTATGTACACACAATATTCACCACAGTAAACTTTCTATAAATAATCACATTTGAAATGTTTTCATTTTCATTTGGTTTAAATAATACAATATGTATATGCAATGTGATTTAAAGTGTCACTTTATTCATTGATATTAGTTAACCATTCATAAATGTTTTTTGTTGAAAAAAATGTCTCTTAAAACTATTTATCGTCATTTTTACTATTCTTGTGCTACTCCAATTCTCTATCCATTGGAATGGACAGATATTTTAATGTATTTATCTTTACTGCATATGATTTATGAGTGCATTTAGAGTAGAGTACAATGTATTTACAATAGTACAGCAGCTAATGTTGATTTGACCCTGCCTACAATAAAGGGACCCCCCAGTAATTTTCTGAGCATGGGGTGTACTTCACAGCAGGTGAATAGTTTCTTCTGGGGCTCTGAAGGAGCTTTGTTAAACCTTAAACAATACCTCTCAGGATGTTGTTATTCTGGCTTAGATAAAAAGATGCTATTAGTTGCATTATGGGAAATGTAGAATTTTAGCTTGACCTATACTTGGGACTGAAGGTCAGGATATATCAGATTTAAATTTACAGAAGTGCAGGAGGAAATTCCTAAAGTACCCTTTTAAATATGACGTGTATAAAAACAATACTATATTATTTAGAGATAGAGCAATTTACAGTGCATGAGAATGCCAGAAAAAAACTTAGTTAGAATTATGACTTTGTTATTTGGTCATGTTGGCTTTCCATAGGTTCAATTCTAATTTGGGAAGTCTTTTAGTGGGGCGGCAGCGGGCTGAAGGTAAGGGTGAGGATTGGTGGAGGTAGTACAGGCTCATTAGTGAAGGAATGCAGGCTGAGTGATGGGAGAAGTTTTGGAGGGGGTGTGCTTTCCCCTCCATTACCAAGGACATACTGTGAGGGGGTCTGATATGGGGCAGGACTCCTGTGTGCAGAGCCAGGCGAATCCTGACCCATGTCAAGCGAAAAGGCAGCAGGTTGACAAATCCTACAGCCACATGAAAACAGAGTGGATTAGCAGATTAAACTTCTTTTAGCCTACGGGCCTGCTGAGCCGCATTGTTCAACCCCAGCCAAACACTGACTGCTGCATAGCAACATCAGCCTAAGTTACTTTAAGTTGGAGAAGTCAGAGAAATTCTAGCCAGATCTAGTTTGGTACTTCATGTCAACAGGGACTAAACCATTACCCTGCAGGCTTTACTGCTGGAGGAAGATTTGGCTGCAGCCTATCATGAAAAATTTGAATAATTCTGCCAATCAGAGCAGCTGCCTCCTCCTCCTCCTGTCAAATCATATGTGCTGGTATGCCTAACTG